CTCATTTTGAAGCTCAAATTGGTAGATTGATGCATATGCTTTTAATTACTTTTCTTTCCTAAGTTAAATCACTGAACCTACCATGTACTATTACCTTTTTATTCTGCTTCTTCTCGGGAAGTTGGGCATATGCTCCTTTTTGGTGCAACAAAATCTATGAATTTTATATTGTTACCTTATTTATGCAAGGACAAGATTAGTGCTTGTGTAATTTCATATTTCTTTACTGGGTATTTATTTATATAATGACTAAATCTCCATTTTTATCTCCCTCTTATACACTTCTATAAAAATTGTTGTCTTTGTAATAATCGAATAATTTTAAATCAGCCAAGGAAGGGTCTAGGAGTTTGAAATGTATATTGCATGCCTTCATGCTTTGGCGAACAAAATTTAAACTGATTTGAGTCTGGAAGTTGAAGGTTGCCACCTCTTACTGATATAACAGTGTAGGCTTACTATTCTTTTTTGAATTTATACTGGAGTGTTTCCTCTTGGTTCCTGTTGTAACTACTCATAAGAGATTATTGGACTTGGTCATGACAGGATGGCTCCAATGGTCTCGTTGGAAAAGAAAGTGTAATCTTCAATATTGAGGAAGGAGCTACCAAAACTTCTTGCATTGTCTTTTGGTGTTTCTAACCATCAGTCTTTACAGAATATTGTATGTGTTTGTTGCTCGAATTTACTCCTTGATGTGTTGTTCTTCATTGTCCCACATATACTGCAGTAAGACTAAATGCTTTCTTCTCTTGGAAAACTTATAGAGCAGGCTATTATATATCTAAGGAGAAGTTAGGTCGACTCATGATAATCTTATTTTTCTCATGCTGAAAGAGTTTGTGTGGAGATTTATGCACTTGATGACTTTCAGCCAAGATTCTTCCTTTGAAATATTTAGTTCCATATGGACTTTGGTGTAATTTAGATGACTATTCACTGGAAAATTTGCTGGGTTGGGCCTTTGTTCAACTTAAAGATAAATCTGCTTATTGGATTCGTCACCTTGTTTCTCTACTTATTGGATATCAATGCTCATAATGTTTTAATCATTAAATCTTCTTTCCTTTTCTAGTTAATACGACTGCAAAAGGTTTGTAGCTATCCGCACCTCTTTCTTGGTATTGAGCCCAAACCATTTTTAGAAGGTGAACACCTGGTTCAGGTAGCCTTCTCATCTAGATTTTGTAGACAAAGGATCATGAATGTGGAATTGTAATCTATCTACTGCTTCTGAGTCTGCAATTTGTATCTTTCTTCAGCCATATCATATTGTTCCTTGTCAACCAAAATGTTGTTTTTATGACTTCTTTATCAGGCTAGCAGTAAACTTGTAATTTTGGACCCACTACTTCGATTGTATGCTTCTTGGCATTGTGTTCTTTTTTTTGCTCAAATGACCCATACGCTTGATATTTTACAGGTTTGTTTTTTGAACCTTAATAATGTTAAAAGTTTATGTCTTCAGCTCAAGTGCTGAATGCTAGTTGTTTTGACAACTATAGGCACTACTTTTCACATGCAATGTATGATTTTTTAGAGTTATGAAACTATGAACGTCTTGATGGATCAGTTTGGGCAAATGAGCATTTGATCAGTTCGGGCAAAGGAGCGTTTAGCTGCTACTATAAGAAATTTCAGTGCTTCATCATTTACGGGGAGACTCAATTATGAAGCTCACGGAAATAATCGTTTGTTTTTCTGATCTCTACAAGAGTTGGGGGAGTTAGTTTGAATCTCATTTTTTAGTCTCTTTACGAGAAGCTAAGCTTCAGTTGCAAGAATAAGAGTCCTTCAAGTCATATCTATCGATGAAACATCTGGTCTTATTTTTTGTCAACTGAAATTGAAAATCTGTATTGTGGGATTATGTACTTTAGTGCCACATTTTTTTTCTAGTATTTAGAAATATTTTGCTTCTTCCTCCCCTAATCACATTATCACTAAATATCAACCTTTTTGTTTCTATGCATAGAGGACAGTGAGGAGGGTAGTATAAACAATGCTTGTCAATTAGTGGCTTTTGCTTTTGTGCAATCATATAATCCTACGTGTGAAGTCCCTTGGAGTCATTTATCTATTCCGGAACTGAAAGGTTGTTTATCAAAGACGTCATTCTCAAAATTCTGGTTAGTTATTGCAAACCTGGTCAAGTCTGACTTGAATTCAATATGTTTTAATTTTTCTTGATAATTGATTAGGTGGCCTAGTTGCTTCATGTTTGAAGAATCAAACTATTGTCTTCGTTTTAATATTTTATCTTACCTATGAATTTTCACAGATAGGTAGATTCTCACTGGATGTTATTACTTCATTTTGGACATTATATTATTTCAAGATACCTCATTTCTTTTCAGGGCTATTTTAGTAATTTTATGACTGCTTTTAATCCATTTCTTTTTACATCAACAGGTACTCCAGTATAGGATCTCTTATCTCATTAGACTTGATATGTGATTTGTCTTTTCTTCTAAACGAAATTGTTCATTTAATGTTTATAAGAGGGGCTTCTTTTATCCTCTTAGGTTATGGTAAAAGTATGGACTATTGGAAGCATGCATCTTCTGCTGCATTTTCCCCTCTTAGGAAAGCATTGCTTATAATTTTTCAAACACAGGGCAAGAGATGGGTTAGTTATAGAAACAAGATAGACTCACCAATTAGGTTGTTGATACTGAAGTAGCTATAGACTTTAGAGAAGTTTACTTTATTTAGAGAGTCCAATTATTTATCACTAGAATTATAATTTGCTAAATTATTTTTGCCTCAGTGGCTCACTCTATTATTATTTACTCTTGGAAGTCTTTTTTTTTTGAATTATCATCCTTTTAAACCTAGGATTGATATTACTGCTGGGATGATAGCAAAACAATAGTTTAGAATGTAAGTTTCTACTTCCAAAAGCTCTCTTTGCTGTTGTGCTAAATTTCCTCACTTTGAATTTTTTTGTATATCCTTTTCTACTGATGGGAGGGCATACCTACAAGGAAATATGAAACAGGATGCTTCAAGTTGGTTCACCGGAAGTTTTCACTGTAAGCTAATTATAGAAATGATTTGTATCCCCTTTCCTTGCTTTTAATAATTAGTAGTCTACTCTTGTCTTGTTATATTGGTTGAAATTTATATATTGATACATGTTTTATTTCCAGGAATTTCTTTCATCCTTATAGAATGGTTAATGTTGATTTCTTCATAAAAAATTGGGATTCTTATACATATATAATTTACTTAACTTTGTTATTCAGATTTGTCTTCCTTTGGTGATGATGTGGACTGTGGTGCAAAGAGGTCTTTTTGGCTGTTGCACTAAAGGTACTCCTAGAAAACTACCTTGGCAGTGATGTAAGATGAATCCCATTGTTGCGTTTCTGTGAGTGGAACTCATACAGTGTAGGAACCACGTATCAAGCTTTATTGTGTTGATAGGTGTGTTCTTGCTGGCTGACTAATATTATCTTGTGTCTCTTTTAATCATTCTCACTTAATGTATCTTGTTTCTCTTGTTTTTGTATATCAATGTCTTGATTTTTTAATCTTATATCTTCTTTTTGTGTTGAGGAAATATAATTATTCTTCCCCCTTTCCTGGTATTAAGCCTGAACTATTTAAAGAAGGTGAACGCCTGGTTAGGCATCCTTTTCATATCAGTTTGTAGACAAAGGATGGAGTCTATGTGTTCCTTTTGCCTATAAAAGGAAAAACTTTTGTTGTTTTTGTATGCCTGCAATTTGTATATTCCATACTGGGTTCTTACATTATTTCCTTCCAACAAAAATGTTGTTTCAATTGGCTTCCTGGTCAGGCTAATGGTAAAGTTGTTATTTTGGGACCTACTACTTAAGAAGTTGAATGTTTCTAGGCATTGTGTTCTACACTTTGCTCAGATGACCCATGCTTGTAAACTTACAGGTTTGCTTTCCAAATCCTAATGATGTTAAATTTAGATCTTCAGAATGAGTGCTGAAGCTAGTTGATTTTGACAACTATGGTTACTGCTTTTCACATGCAAAGTAGGAGTTTTTGCAGTTACGAAGATATTTCAAGGAGTGTCCTCACTATGCACCGCACTTGATTGATAACTGATGATGATTTGTTTTGAATGATTTGTGGCTTATTGTTTGGTGCTGATAATAAATATGTTTCAACTGAAGCTGAAATGAATTAAAAATCTTCCACTTTTTGAAAGTTATCTTTGTGATCATGTGTTAGCAATATGTACTTAGGGCTCCTATCTTCAAAGACTTAATTTAGATAATAAGTTATTCGGCCGTTTGGCTATTACATATTTATCAATTACTGTTTGTCAAGTGTCAGTTTATTAAAATTTGAGTATAACTTAGTTCTATTTTATTTATTTCTGCATGAACAATAGTATAGTGATAAACTTTTGTTATAGCTTTTCCATACAGTAGTTGAACTGATTTTTGTGTTAATTATTTGTAATGCATTATCCTTGAAGAATGTCTTATATGCTTGAGATCAGAATATATGGGATGGCTCACCACGGAATATTTGATACATTTGGTGGGCTATTGAATTCTCATTCTTGATTCTTTGAAGTTTATATAAGGAAACCTACAAAAAGGCAGCCATTTACTATGAGGAAGGTCAAGGCTTCACACATTGGTCAGGCCTTAAGGATATCAAGCATTATAACTTCATTCAAATGTTAAGCCACTTATGTAGGTTGCAATATATACATGTGAAGATTGTAGTTTTGAAATCTACCAGGTAACTGATTACAGGACCTCTAATTTCACAAAATTTGGATATGACTTGTCTATTCTTCTACACCTATTTGTCTTTCATTTAATAATTGTTAGATAGAAAGCAACTGCCTGCATTTGACTGCCCGTCCAGACATTGTTATATAAAATATAACAAATGGGAAGTTGATCCTTAAACTCAAAGCATCAAAGTTTCAGGAAGTTTTCAATTTAGTTTGGTTTCAGTCTTAGAATGGATTAATAGCAAGCATGATTATGTAATATTAGATGATGTTTTTTGCTAAGAAAGAGTTGGCTGCGCATGTTCCAAAAGGTCATGTCTCTCAGACTATGGCTTGTCATTTGAGTCGAGATCTTATAGGAAAGGTTAGTGGTTGTGTTTGATTTCCAAGAAACTTAGGAAGCTATATCTTGTATTTCATTTTGGGTGTGAAAAGAGCACCTAAATCTCAGTAGGTAATGTTAATATGCACCAAATTGGTACTAATCAATTTTACTGTAGTCTGATTCTTTTAAAAACTTTGGATAAAGCCATGAACTCAAATTTGATGAAAAAAGGGCATTACAAAACTAATTCATCCCTTCGCTTATAAATCTATCTCAGCTAAAAGAGAACCGCAAGAGAATGTCATTACATGGGTTTAAAGTAATTGCTGAGTGGTGTGAATAATTGCAACTTGCAACTGGTTCTTACGATACTTTCTTTAAAAAATTGCATTCTTTCATATAGTTCATCATCTTATCTTTACCAAAGTTGTAACTCTTCATCGTAACTTTTACCTCTCTGTTTTTCTGTTCACAGATAGCTCCACGTGATGTCGTTGAATTATTAGGAATCCTTCTTCCTCATCCTTACTTTGGTTTTACAGCATTTCGTGCCGACTTAGTTGTAGATATATACTTGGAGGCCATGTGTGTCACTCATTTCAAGAAAAATATGATAAGTAAGCCTTCTCCAGTAATTAGTTACCGTTAGTGAGTAATTTCATGTATCATAGTACAATTTCATTGTTTTTAAATGTGAACAATTTGAGAAATAATGCTTGTTTCCTGAATTTAGTTTGAAGAACATGCACGTTTTTTTATTGGTCAGTTGTGGGGACTTTTTATCGAAGTAAATGATGATTTGGTTTATCTGCTCAATTCTACTGCAAGTATGAACTCAAAGGAGATGAAGAAAATACTTAGCTTGTTTAATAAGCAGAGGAGGGTGATATCTACAACAAGTTGGCAGTCATTGGCCTTTTTCACTCACTCATTACATATGATTCAAATTTCTTTCTTCTTATCTAATGAAAAAATATATGATGTTACACTAATAATTTTTGTGGTACAGGAATTTTTCTGCAATCCAAGTAATGGAACATTTCTACATCAATTGCAAGGTTTGTTAAATGATACCATCGGCTTCGGCTGTTGCACCGCTCTCATGTTCTCAACTTTACCGGGTGATTACTAGTGTGAATTTTGAGTAAATTTCTGCTATTGTCTAAAATAAGACTAGATCTGAGTAGGTGAAAATTAATATTTTAATGGAAATATTTTTCTCAATTTTCCTCTGATTTTCTCATTTGAAAGACTTCAATGATTGAACCACAACAGGTTCTATATAAAGTCCTCAGAGAGCGATTTGTCATGCCCAGAAGATTGTTGATGAGTGGCACACCTATCCAAAATAATCTTTATGAAGCTTGGCTTTGATGCGATTTTGTATGCCTTCAGCATTTGGGACACTGGAAGAGTTCCTTTCTACTTTTAATGAAGCAAGACATGGGTTTATCAGGTTATTTTCTTATTTATCAGGTAACGGTAATGGATTGAGATTCCTTGGAATTACGCTTTCCTGTACATATTAAAAATCTTTTTCACATCCTTTTATGGTTTGGACTCACCATGTTAATGTAGACTTAAACCCGTTTAGTTGTCTTTATGATTCTTAATATCTGTGAGCAGGGATGTAAAAGCAACAGCTGCTCTTGGGCATTAGACGAGACAGGCAACCTACCAATCTTTCATCATCTGTACTGTCAAGTGACAGTATGCATATTGGAATCCTCGCTGCAGCGGCACATGCTGCTGCAAACAATAGCCTCTTCACTGTTTTTTGTAATCCAAGGTCACTTCTTCGTTTCTATAGGGTCTTACTTTAGTGATTTGGTTTTTTCGTGTATGCTTTGATTTATGCTCGATAGATTCTGTGATCATTGGATCAGTGTATGTAGGATGAATTACATATCTGTGGGATGAGAAATCACCCTAAATAACATCTTCTAATTCTGGGCTAGTCCATTAGAGTTTGTTGTCCCTTTGGCCAAGTGCTATAAGGCAGTTTACAGCAACCAAATCTCACTCGCATGCTGATGAGCACCAACCTTCCAGATTCACGTTTGATAGCAAATAATAAGAGAAAAAGCAGACACTCAATCACAAGCGATACTCTCAATTGGAAAACTGAAATAAAACTATATTGATGGAATGAGTTCGTAACACTGGAATGAAAACAACAATAGAAATTGAAAAGAGACTTAACACTATACTGAACTTCGAGGGTCAGTTCCTCCTGTACAACTCTCTACTAATTTTCCATATCCATCCTATGTTTTTGCTCCTCTTTTATCCTTGCGCTAGATTCCTTTTCCAACAATTATAACAAATTCCAGGCACCCGTCACCCTTTCATTGCACCAACCAATTGATTCATAACAAATTCATCACACTCGTCACCCTTTCATTGCGTCAGCCAATTTGCCACCCATCAATCCTTCCTTGCTGCCATCTGTCAACAGTTTATTGTGCCATTTGCTTCTTTCTTTGCTATTGTGCCACCTGTCCAGCCTTGTCAAATCTTCCTTTCCCTTTTTGCCTTGTTCTGATAAACCATTTGGTCACCGAGGGTCCATCAAGGAGTGCCACCTTGTCCTTAAGGTGGAAAGAGGGAAATTGGTGGCGAATAACGTCGTAGGCTCCCAAGTGTTGTCACAGGACTGTAAATTCTTCCACTTAATTAACACTTCATAACTACCATCTAACAGACGTCGTTTTTTTAGGACATCCTCAGGTTCAACTTGTAACATCAGATTACAGTCAAGGATGTCGGGGAGGGGTTGCGGTGTAATAGGGCGGGAGGTGGCTTTCTTGAGTTGTGAAACATGGAAGACGTCATGTATGCGGGTTGTAGGGGGAAGATTTATCCTGTAAGCAACTTGACCCACATTTTCGGCGATCAGATAGGGACCGTAAGACCTGGGGCTGAGCTTCTCATTGACTCTGCGTGCCAAGGATTTGAGACGATAGGGTTGATTTTTTTGATAAACAGAATCCCTAACGTCATAAGGAATTTCTCGCCTGTTTTCATCAGCATAACTCTTCATACTCTCCTGGGCTTTAGCCAAGTTGGCCTTCAACTCTTCCAAAATGAGATTTATTTCCGTTAATTGTTGGTCGACATCATTGACAGCAGAACTGTTCTTATTATACTTGAGGATAATTGGAGGGTTTCAACCATATAAGGCTCGGAAGGGGGTCATGCCCGAAGAGCGATTGTATGTGGTGTTGAACCAATATTCTACCCACGCCAGCCACTTGGGCCAATGTTGTGGTTGGTGGCCCCTGACACAACGCAAGTAGGTTTCTACACAACGATTTACTACCTCTGATTGATCGTCGGACTGTGGATGATAGGCAATAATCATATGAAGTTGTGTTCCTGATTGTTTGAACATCTCTCCCCAAAAGATGCTCATGAATACTCGATCCCGATAAAAAACTATAGTGCGAGGGAACCCATGTAACCGCACTATCTCCTGAAGGAATAGGTTGGCCACGTCTTTAGTGGTGTAGGGATGCCGCAAGGGAAGGAAATGACTGTATTTTGTGAGGCAGTCTATGACTACCAAAATAGTATCTACCTGATGAGCTTTTGGAAGTCCAACTATGAAGTCCATGGAAATGTCCTCCTAGACTTGGGATGGGATAGGTAGTGGTTGTAACAGTCCGGCCGGTTGAAGGGCTTCATACTTATTTTGTTGGCAGGTAGGGCAAGCTTTTACAAATGCTTGGATGTCTCATTTCATTCCTCCCTAATACACCACATTTGCTAGCCTTTTATAGGTTCGAAAAAACCCGGAGTGACCCCCCAAAGGAGATGAATGAAATTCCTGCAAAAGTTGTTGGGTTTGTGGGCTTGACTTAAGGAGCACCAAACGATCATCATAGTACAATTGATGGCCAATTAGCTTAAAATGCGGATAATTGTCAGGATCCATAATCAGGGGTGCTTTACTATCTCTTCTCGTCTGGATAAGGCATCTGTCGCTATATTTTCCAGCCCCGGCTTATACTGTATTTCATAATTTAGCCCCAACCAATGTTCTGAAACCCAGACCAGACTGGGTGATCGAACCGGTCCGACCGGGTTTTGGTGGAATTTCCGATTTAAAGGGAGTAAAAAATCAAGATTTCACATTGGACCATTTCAAACCGTTGTTGGACTGTCTCACTATAGCAAACTGACGGTCGAACCGGTATAACACACAAATCCGATCTAACGTCAAATCCGGTCCACTAACAAATTACAAAACCCTAAAGTCAAACCCCCAATTTTTTATTTGCTTTTGCGGTTCACAGCTGTTTGGCACTTTGCTTTGATTGGCGCATTTGCTTTTTCAGTTTTTTAGTTTCTTTTTGGTTTGCCTCCTCCAGTCTAGTCCTCATCCTCCATTCACGATCTTCTTCAAGCTTCAACTTCAGCCTTCAAGTCTTCAAAGTTCAACCTCTTCAATCATCGTTGGTCTACTACTCTGCTTCTTCCTTGCAGTGGTTGGTCTGCTACTCACTCGTCAGTCATGACTTCAACACTTCAGTTCAAAGTCTTCATTCTTCAACTTCAAGTCTTCAACGGTTCAAACTCTTCAATCATCGTCGTCGCCATCTAAAAGCCTACCTCTTCCTTGTCATTGCTGGTCTGCCAGATTCGTCAGTCACTACTTCAACTTCAATTCAGACTTCAACCTTCACATATGTCGCCGCCTGCTGCCGTCGACCAAGTAAAAAACTGCTGTAAGAGACTAAGAGTCATCCTATCTTTCTCTGTCTTCTATTTCATATCATGATTCATGATATTGTATTATTGTGATGTGAATCACTGAATCTGTCAATTTAAATTTTGAAACTTTTAAATCTAATTTCTTATTGTGAATCTGTCATTTGTCAATTGAATTTATGAAACTCTAAAATGTAATTTCTCATGGGAAATTAAAAATTGATGGTGAAAGTTTCACCATGAAGCTTCATTACAGTAACAGAGTAATTGAAAGGGGGAGTTTATTCATGTTGTTATAATAACATAGATGTATTTTCATATAGTTTTTCTTGGCTCCACTACTGGAATTTGGCGAATAATAATAACCAGCGGGTGTGCTTCTAGTTGCTGGGAATAGTTTGTAATTTTTATTAACTTTTATAAGACTTCAATGGTCTTAAAGACAACTTAAGATTCAAACAAGCAAGTTAGTTTTCAGTATGACAACACAGGTATTGATTGGGGTTATCAATTTGCTTGGTTCTTCCATTTAGTAGCATGAAATGCTCTTGACTGAAAAACTCTTAATCATGGGTTATTGTAACGCCCACATTGAGGTACGTAACTTATTTATGTTTTAATGCCCTTAGTTTTACTTGTTTCAAAGTGAAAGATTGAAAAATTAGAATTTGCAGACTTCGTTGCGGCAAAGGAGTTTTGTCGCCACGGCCTTATACACACTGGCCAATTGAGTTCTTAGAATTGCAGTCTTTGTCGCGGCAAGGAAGAAAGTTCTCCGCGGCAACATACACTCTAGAATGGTTCACCGAGGCGAAGAAAAAGCTTCGCCGAGGCAAAGAACTTGGTGAAATTTTTGAGAAAATTCTAAAAAACTTCCTTAAGGGCAAAATGGTCATTCCACCCACAATTAGTTGTAAATGTGGAGAGTGAAAAGTAGTAGAATGCAATGGAAGTGAGGGTATTTTTGTAATTGACTAAAGGACAAAGATGGAATTTCATAGAAAGTACAGGGGCAAAATGGGAATGTAAAAGCAATAAATGAGATATTAAAGGTTCAAGAATGAAAACCCTACCATTCTCTACTCCCTCACACGCCACTTTCATCCCCAAATTCTCTCAATTTCTTCATCAAATTTCCAAGGGAATTTAGAGGATTTTTTGTTGGATTTCGGTAGATATTCAGTCCTAAGCATCCAAAGGTAAGAATTCTAGCAATAAGATGTGAGATTATTTTTTTTAAAGCGTTGAATTCTTATCGTTTATATGCTTAGGGTTTAAGAAGAAGAGGAAGTCTTCCAAAGAGAGAGATTCTAGTTTGGAACTACCCAAACTCAAGGTAAGTAAATCCAACCCTAGCCCTTGATTTGAGCAATACTTGAGTAGAGAATTTTCTTATATGTATTTAAATGCTTGAGTATTGAGAGTTTATGATGGAATTGATGATGACATCATGAGGAGTGATGATTGTGTTTATAGAAATTGATGGAAGTTTGGATGAGTTAAGGAAGAATTTGAGTAGAATTACGGAGTGTAATTTTCCTGGCCAGGTTTGAAGTTGATTTTAGAAAATTTATGCTCTAAATTTTCGGTAGCTAGAAAAAGAGATAGAAGTGTAGCTAATTTAGTGCTTGTTTGTGCATACCACTTGTTTGATAAAATTTCAAAGTGAAGTGCATATACGCTAATGCTTGTGTATTATCTTGAGAAGAGTTTGTAGGTGGAAGAGAAAGTAGAGAATGACATGTTCACATGCCATCTTGCATTCTTGCATTTAATTATTTGAATTGAGAAAGAACAATAAGAAAGTCCATCTATATGCATACATGCATATAAGCACACTAAAGAATATAGAGAAAGAAATAAAAGTGCTAAAGAAAAGAAATTGAATATTAATCTCTAAAAGAAAGATAAGAGAAAAGAAAGGTTGTTGCGATGGGGAACCCGTGAGTGACAAGAAGAAGAATATCGCCACATGCATGCCGCCTTTAGTGAGCAGCCTAAGAATAAGAAGAAGAATTTATACTGTCCGTAAGAGTGCATGTGGATGAGGGCTGTACCCAGAAGAATATACCTACATGCACGCCGTCTTTAGTGAGCGGCCTAATAAGAAGAAGAATTTATGCAGTCCGTAAGAGTGCATGTAGATGAGGGCTGTACTCACTCACATGGTCAGGGTTCCGAATCCATGCCTCAACCGAGTCTAATCGGCAATGAATAAGAAAGAAAGAAAGAATAGAATAGAAAGAAAAGAATAAGAAAGAAAGAAAGAAAAGTATAGAAAGAAAAGAATAAGAAAGAAAGAAAATAATA